CAACCTCTGCTAATTATGAAATCATTTAATACTATATCCTTCAGGTAACATTGAACTGTGCTTCTCCATCTTGCTTTTGTATTACTAAATATCCTTCTAACCCAACGAAGTTTTAATGAATTCATTTGTGCTTCAAAATTAGAAACTTTTCATCCACCCTTATTATTTTTTGGCAGGATACTGAACTTTTAACTTTTGGTTTTTCATTATAATAATTCCATACGAATTTATTCAGTTCTGTAGACACCTCTTTATCATTTGTGGGGGAAGTGGAAGTACTTGTGCATGATATACTATTTTAGATATTGCTAAAGTTTTTACTATTAGAATTTTTCCAATAAGCGTTAAGTTCCTCATTTTCCATAAATTCAAAGTTGCTTTTAGTTCATCTAATTTTGTATTTAAGTTTCTTGCAAGGAGTTTTTGTTTCCCACTTGAACTAAACCAAATACCAAGGGTAAAAAATTCACCTTTAGACCATTTTACTGGCAAGATTCTTGGTTTGAAAATCTTTATTTTTCCTATCCAAATTGCTTCAGTTTTATTCAAATTAATTTTCAGTCCAGAAAAATGCTTAAAATTTTGAATAATATTTAATATTTCAACTCTTAGAAATACTTAGAAAACATGTAGTAACATCTGCTAACTTGCTTATCTTAAATTGAGTCTCCCCTAATTTTATACCGCGTATATCTTTATTTGCTCTTATGGCTATTGCAAGCAGTTCAACACATAAAATGAACAAGTATGGTGATAAAGGGCATCCTTGCCTTACCCCTCAACTTAATTTGAAAAAAGATGATGCATATCCATTGTTTATGACACTATTGTATACAAAATTTGAACCCAAAGCCTGAAACTTTCACCAAAACCAAATATTTCTAAAGCTTTATCAATGAAGCACCATTCTACTGTATCACAAAACCTTTTCAAAATCCACTAAAAGAATTAGTCCAAGAATATTCTTGATACTAGTATAGTTTATAAGATCAGATATGGTTCTGATATTTTCTCCTATAAATCTATTCTCTAAATATCCAGTTTGATCAGAATCTATTAAATGAGGTAAATATGTTTTCATCCTCTTTGCCAATAACTTTGATAATATTTTATAATCAAAATTTAGAAGAGATATTGGTCTCCAATTTTTTAACAAAGTTTTATCTTTATCTTTATTTGGAACTAAAGCTTTTATTCCTTTTCTTTGGTCAAGAGAGAAAGTACGTTTTTCAGTGGTTTCATTTATGCTTTCAATAACTAGTTTTGATATATCATTCCAGAAATATTCATAAAATTCCATTTGAAACCCATCAGTCCCTGGTGTTTTATTATGTTTAAATGTTTTCAAAATATCTTCACATTCTTGATAAGTAATTGGCCCTTCACATGCAACAGATTCCTCAGTTTTAAGTCTTGGAATAATATTAGTATTATTCACAAAATAATCAAGATTTTCATTATATTCATTATGATCCAAATCAGATGTATATGATTTCTTGTAAAATTTCACATCCTCTTATAATATTTCTTTTTTACATTGTACAATATTGTCATTTATATTTAATGTTGAAATACATTTATTTCTGTAATTTCTTTTTTCCAAAGATAAGAACAATTTTGTGCATTTTTTCCCTTCTTCACACCATGTGGCTTGAGATCTTAAGATAATTCTTTTGGTTTTTGTTGTCATTTACTATTTCTAACTCTTTTTTAATTTTATTATATGTGTTTATATATTCTTCACTTGGGTCTGTTGCTAATTTCGCATTTTGTTCCTCCAATTTCTTAGTTAGAATATTTTTCTTTTAACTGTACCATTGGTTTTTTTTTTATTTTCTCTACAAATATTTCATCTTGTAGTAAGGATACATTGAATTTCCAAAAGCCAGGACCTCTATCAACAAATATCTTTCCTTTGAAAGTTATGATAATTACACTATGATCTGTTTTCATAGATGGTTTTATACTTGCAGTTCAAAAGGTACCATAAAAACTGGAATCAAGAAAAAAAAATCTAATCTTGACAAAATAATAGGGTTTTTTTTGCATGAATGTGAAGTTTTCTGTCTGGATTTTTTTCTCTCCAAAATCAATTAAATTTAGATCTTCCATAGCAGCAATTAGATTATCCCTGTATTTTGATTTCCCTTCAATACTTCCACCCAATTTGTCTATGATAGGATTTAAGGTAATATTAAAATCACCACCTAATATCAAATTCTTATCACCCTCTTCGTCTAAGTGAATCAACAAAAATTCTAAAAATTCAACTTGTTCAGCTGAGTTATCTTTTATTGGAGCATATGTATTTATTAATGTAAATTTTGAATCATCTTTTAAAATGGATACTTTTAAAAATCTTCCTATACAATCACTTGTTTTTTCAATTATTTCATAATCTATATTATGTGGAAATAAAATAGCCACTCCTTTGTTATTTGATTCTCCATGACAATAAATGATATCAGATTCCCATTCAGTTTTCCATATCTGTTGATCGAATTCAGTAGAATGTGTTTCTTGTAAATAAATAAAATGATCTGGAAATTTCTCTTTAAACCATGTAAACAAGCATCTTCTTTTAGTAAGTAAACGTAACCCCCTTACATTTAGAGATATGCAAGGACATAATCTATTTCAATTATGTTGTAGTACACAAACACAAGCTCACCATAAAAAGAAACTGAATGCAGTAAACATTGTCGTACCATTGCAATTGCAAGTAAACAAAAAAAAAAAACCTTTTCTAATATAGAGCCAAGTATATAACAAAAACACAAAAGAAAAAAACATACAGCATGTGTCCGAAAGATTCCTAGCTGCCCATAGTCAAATCCCGTCCGGGTCATATTTTCACAATATAAACTCCCAGACCCTCAATCTTTTTTCTTTTTTTACTTTCAACAAATGACAAATACTTTCAAAAAATGACAAATAATATCTTATATCCCCTCCACGAAGTTGCTGGTGTGGATATCGTAATGCGCTTGTGTCTGTGAAAGTTTGTCCTTTTGCGAATCGGAAGAGTTGCATTTTGCATTTGGATCGATGTTGAAAGCTGTCTCGATTTATAGAGATGCTCTTTGCGATGGGACTCTCCACTTAGCATTTCCCTCGTTGTGTTTCTGAACCCGAGATTATGCTAGCGTACCATTACTCCAATATATTTACATTCAGTATTATTTTCTTTACGAAATCCATTAGAAATTCACGATATTCAAATCTCTATTATACACGCGAAACATTGTCACGATAGAATACACAGTAGGAACTTTTTATTTTCAATATTCTAGGAACACACACACAAAAAGTTTTAACTAAATTTAACAAACACAATAACCCTGTCAAATTAAAGTTAAATCAAAGTACTCAGAAGTACAGAGAGCCCTGCTCATTTACAGAGTAAAATGAATTTTTTAAATGAATCATACGTTTATATTGTGTTAACAGATAAATAACAAGAATATCAGATTAAAAATTCTGATGAAAAAATTATTTTAAAACTAACAATATAAATCATAAGACACTGACAGTGAGTTTTCGATCCAAATACATGTACCACGGTCCGATTTTGTCAGAATCAAAATTAATCTGGTACTACAGCTGAATGTAAACAAACAGGCCAGTCTGGTTCCCTGTCCTGTTTTTTCTTGTTAGTGTAGAGAACTACGATAACACTGATTATCAGAAATCCTTACGCTAATAAACTATGTTCTTTGACTTAAGACTGAAGTTTTCAAAGTCAATACTACTAATGTTTATTTATTTAGATAAAGCTTCGTTTTATTTATGTTGCTTTATTTAGCGCTTGCATTACCTCAGAAGCGGTTGAGAGTAAGAACTATATTTTTACTCGTAACTTTAAAATGGCGACTATGGGGTTGACATCCTGTCTTGAACAGGATGACATAAGCCGGCAATTGCTCTTTGAGCAATAAGCCCGGCTAAAAACCCAGCAAAATTAATTTAAAAAAAATTAAAATTGATTTGTCATTTTTTTTTTCGCAATGATTGTTTGCGTTATTTAACTTTGCAACGTCACAACGGCTCTTACGTCTTTTACTCACATCAATTTTGAAGGACGCTAAAGTAACATAAAAGATTAACGAGATGAACAATAATGAAGTGGGAAAATTAGGGAATGTAAATGTAAGCTAACTCAGGTATTCAATTTTTCTGCACGGCCAGTAGTGTTATAAGAGCGACGACATCCAAAATTTTTAATTCAATGCTTAACTAGTTGCAAATTAGAATGACTTCACTTCTTAAAAGTCAAGATAATGTACAGTTAGGATGAATTAACATCCGCTGTCAAGAGGCCATACTTATTTAAGTATATGCCGTAACACGTATGCAAAATTAGCATAAAAAGAATGGCCTATCAATTGATATGAAACATCAGTCAACGATAGACCCAACTATAAATCTTATTTGAAAGTCATCATATTGTACGTAGAATCTTTAAGAAATGCTGACTGAATGCGAGGTTGTTGAAAGCATTTTAGCATCAACTTGTTAGCATTTAACCTACCTCAGTTTGAAAACTGATCTTACTTTGAGCATATCCAAATACACAAAAGGAAGCCAAAACAGCAGTTCATAGTAGGATAGTTCTACAAAAATGAGGAAAACTGGCCATGGACAAGCCTAAATCATTCATTTTCTACAAAGTTTGTTTTTGATTAGTCGAACATTAACGTCTTTATTCAATAAACACCAAATATAAAACAAATATTTTGATTTCGTTTCGAAAGGTTTAATTTCGTTTTGGTAGATTTTGATTTGTTTCAATTCGTTTTGTTTCTATTTGGTTTTGCATTAAACAGGGAGCCGACTTGTATTACTTGTATTTTAAGGAACCATGAAGAGGAGGGGACCCCCATATTTTGTCGATATATAATTAAATGCTATAGAAAATATAGTTACTTTATAGCACTTTGTATTTACAAGATGTCTCACCTTCTACAAAAACCTAACAATTTTTATCTTTTTATTAGGAGATGGATTTCTTGTTATTCAACAACAGGCAACAAAAGGAAATAATGCAACACTCTTATGTAATTTTCCTGTAAAAAAAGTACATCATGTGTCATGGAATAATACAAAAGGCATTCAGGCTGTTTGTGACGACTCTGGACTCTGTGGGAATGTAACAGATCGAAGATATCACCCTTCGATTCACACGAATCATTCTACATTTCACATTACTGGGGTAGACCACAAGGTGGACGAAGGAACGTGGAGTTGTCAAATAAACAAGCAATATGCGTCATCGAAAGAAGTCATAGTTTACTGTATGTCTCTCTCTTTCTCTATTTTTATGTGATTTTAGTATTTAAATCAATTCAATCAATATTGAAATCATTTCAATCTATAATGAAATCATTATTTAAATCAATATTGAAATGAAAAATTCATTATTTCAATCAATATTGAAATCATTATTTCAATCAATAATGAATTCTTTATATCAATAGTGAACATTATTTCAATAGTGGTTGCAACCTGATTTAGGTTTTGAAATGCATTCAAACATTCAAACCCCAATTAAAATCATTGTTTCAATAGTGATGTATTTTAATAATCGTTGCAATCTGTATTTACCGGTGTTGTAGAGAAGGATACCCCCATGGCCAGCCCCCGCCCCTCCCACTGAAAATCGTACTCCAGAGAGGGATTTTCCCCCTAGGGGAAATCTCACACCAGAGCCAAATTTCCCCCTCTTTCTTTCTCAGAGTAGAATTTCCCCCTTATCATAAACTCAATATAAACCACAGGCGCAATATTTTTATAAATGTTGTAAGAATTTTCTAAGCATATATTTCAATTCATGGAATCTTTGGCAAAATATAAAGCATTCAAAATAAATGTAAATATTCTCAAAATACGAAGAAACAAACAATAGCTGGATGTCTAGATTGGAATATATATTTTGGACCTATTTTCGTAAGAAGGATATGGAGATATACAATTATTGCTGTTTTTGAGGTCAATACAATGATTTAGCCATCTGGGGAGTAAAATATTCACCGAGCCTGAAGGGCTGATATCCAACTATGTTAGAAAAATACTACGTTGTATTGACCTGCACGTGACGTTCCAGGTCAATACAAGGAATTATTTAAGCTACATCTGACCAAAAATAGATAGGAAACTTCTGGAACGCGCCCGTTTATTCTTATTTTTGTCGTCCAATGAAATTGCGCGTTTTACAGCGAGTTCGGTAGTGACTTCAGCAGAAGTAAACTATCCAATACACAATCAATGGCTAGGTTTGTTTCGATTGACGATAGCGATTTTGATAGGCTTTTAAAAGATAAAGATGCCGAAAACACACAGAAGGCTACCAAAATGGCTACAAAGATATTCCTTTTGTACCTATTTACAAGAGAAGGGACTATCTGCGGATTTTGAATCTTTTGAACCGAGTGACCTGGATTCTGTGTTAGGCAAGTTTTATGCGGAGGCGAGAACAGTCAACGGTGAGCTTTATAAACGAAGCAGTTTATTTTCCATTAGACATGGACTTAACAGACATTTGTCGGTGATTTCCCTAAATACAAGGGACATTAACCATGGAGTAAATTTCCGCAAATCACAACTGGCTTTCACCGCAGCTACCGAGGAGCTGAAAAGCAGTTGCAAGGGAGGGGTTTCCCTATTGAAAATAACGATTTAAAGCTTATGTATCAGTATTTTGATCTTGAGAACAACGTGAAACTACAGGAAAAAGTGTTTGTAGACATTGTCTTGTATTTTGGACGCCGAGGCAGTGAGAATTTTCATCAGTTAATCAAAGTACTGAAAGCACTCATGGGAGTTGAACATGGTGTTAAATAAAATCTTTGATCGGTAGGTTACGTGAGTGAACAATATTATTATTTCAAATATGGACAACTGTTTCAGATTTTTTGAGTTGCAACAATCTTGAGAAAGACATTCAGAGACATTAAATCTTGAGAAAGACATTCAGAGACATTAAATAGCAAAAAAATCCCTGGGCCATAATGCTTGCCTGCCTACATTAGTCCTTTTTTATACCCCCTGCTTGAAAAGCGGGAGGGTATTTATTAATTGGGATTTCCGACAATCTGTTTGTTACGCTTTAGGCATACCCATCTCTTATCCGCAACTCCTCTTACACCACTGAACGAAATTTTCATAGAATCTTTATTACATATTGCCGTTGTACACCTTCTATTACTTTAATTTTCATCCTACACATATTTTGAGTTTCCTATTGCAAAACATGGACACTGCCATTATATATTAGAGGCGGTTGATCATTTATATAATTCACTGCTCACAGTCTTCAAATTTGTAATATATTTTTCCTTGGCACCTTTACCCATGTGTTATGAAAATTTCAGTTTCGCAGGAATAATATCAATGTTGATAAAATGTGGATTTTTAAGAGCTAACAGGTTTGTTATATAAAACTTCTCTGTGAATATAAATGCATTTCAATTACACGAACATTATAGATGGAGTACGTCAGAACTGAATCTTTTTTAATATTGTGAAGAAAAAAGCAATACCAAGTTAAAAACAAATATTTAATGACCAAACATAAAAACAGTGGTATATGTGAGAGTTTGTGTGCGTACAAATTATCTGGTATGTAAATGAGGTTTTCCTCTTCATTTTGTTGTTTTCAATCGCGATTTTACGAAAACATCGGTGTACGTTCTTGGGTTAAAGATTTATAACAGAGTACTAGATTCACCGCTATTGGCAGGTGATACTGCTGATTTAGTAATAAATACGCATGTTTCCTAACGTTTTTATGCATTAATGAATTCATTTAAACCAAGAAAATGTTCATGAAAAGATTGAATAAATTCTGTGCACCGGTAAAAAAGAAATTGCTAAAAATCCGGTACCGTCGGGCGTCGGGAAGACTAGATTTACCGCTTGCCGTCAGTATGTAGAGTTGTCGTTCATGTCTCTTTCAGTGTATGACGCTATATTAAAAATGAGTTTCATTACGAAAAACTTTTGAGGTTGTTTATAATTTAGTTTTACTTTGAACGAAATCTAATATTCAAAATAAGATTACTTCATCATTATATTTACTTACATTACGAAAATTAGATCAATTCAGGAGAAAATGACATGAACTATTTGTGGCGGATGTCTATGCATGTTTTCTGTTGAATATCATCGGAGTAAATCGGTCGACACAGTAGCCTCGCTTTCGGCTCTAAATAATCAACACAAATTACTGCGCATGTTAAATGCGTGATGACCATGGGAGATTGAACATGGTTCAACTCCAAAAAATATCGGATTTCAATGCAGAGGGCCATCTTTACATTCATTCAGACAAGGATGAACTGACCAAAAACCACCAGGAGAACGATAACACAGCAGAAGGGAGGATGTATGCAATACCAGGTTAGTACATTATATAGCTTAAACAGTGTTCAATATCTTTTGTTTATTTATAAACTTTAAAGACAGGGTTTTTTTTTTAAAGAAATGCAATGTGACATTTTATTTATTTATTTTATTTAACTTTTAGATGATCCTCTGTGCCCTGTGAAGTCATTCAGTACAAAAGGCATCTTTATTCAAAGTTTGACCGAATTTTCCAAAGGCCAAAACGTAATTTTTCTAGTTCACATTATTTTTATGACAACGTTCCTTTGGGACATAACACTATAGGGAACCTGATGGCTGCAATATCCCAAAAGGCAGGATTATCACAGAAGTATACGAATCATTCTTTGCACACAACCTTGGTGCACACCCTGGATTCAACTGGATTGTTCTCTGGTCGTTACAGAGTTTCACCGGACATCGTGCCGAGTCCAGTTTGAAAACTTACTCAGGCCAGACAGAGCCAGAAATGAAGCGAAAAATGTCTGAAACCATATCCAAAACCCTTCGTACTGACACCACTGTGCAGGAGAAAGAAAATTCATCAACTACAAGCTATTTCGAGGTATTTGAAATGAAACTTGAGCCAATACAGGTATCAAATTCACTGTCTGACATTGACAATGTACTGGCAGATTTATTAAATGATCTTAATGATTTTGATTCCATTTTAAGTAATGCAGATTTTGATTGTGGCATTCAAAATGTGGGGGTCAATGTATTTCTGAAACAAATGCACTGTCCAATCTGAATGTAAGTACTTGTAACTCAGTAAGTAAAAGTGGACACACCACAGTTACAGAGCATGTTGAAATGTCCAGAACATCTTTTCAGTCTATTGCTTCAGGCCTTCCAGTTTTGACTCTGAACAATTCATCAAATATTACTATCAATTACAATGTCAACTTTAATTGAAAAGGGTTATAATGTTCAGTGATAGATAGATAGACCTGACAAAAGAAGCTGATGTTTCAATATTTTATTGTACCATCTTTTTCTGTTACAATGTGTTTAATATTGTTAAAATTTCTTGTTAAAATATTCAATTAAATCAAAAACAAACTTTTTGGAGTTTGCTATCATTCAATTATATTGCTCTCATTTAATCATATTATAAAACAGTTGCTATCATTTAATCATATAATAAAACAGTTATTGCTGCTTTTTCGGTCAATACAATGATTTAGCCATCTTCGTAGTACAATATTCACTTCACCTTCCGGGCTCGGTGAATATTGTACTCCTCAGATGGCTAAATTATTGTATTGACCTCAAAACACAGCAATAATTGTATGGTATTGGCTGACCATTGTATCGACCATAGAACTTACGAAATGATGACTTTAAACCAGTCTGCTGCTATTCTTGTTTCATAAACTTGCTTGTCAATAATTTATCTCGTTTTAGAAATTGTTCATACGAAGACCATGCTCTTACGTATCGAATCAACTGAGATATATAAACGCCGTATGCATATAGGTATATTGCTGCATAAGTAAGGGAAGTTGACGATAGAAAAGTTAAAGTAATCACGTTTATCATAGAGCTTCGTTGTTAGATGATCACTATTAACGTCTTTTCCAAGTAAAGTATTTAAGTATGAAACAGATGTATCAGATTCTGTGGTATCTTTTATCTCAAGCTCACCAGGATATATCGTATCGACATAGTAATGGAAATAACATTGTTAATTGATAATGCGTCGTTGATATATCTATAAGTATTGAGTTAAAGGCCACAGCAAGTGTTGTTCGCTTTTCATGCATAAGATTTTGCTCCTATGATTTCAAGAAGTAACACTGCAGGTTGAAATTAATCTTCTTTATCTTTTACAGCTCTTCCAGCATCTTTTTACATTGAGAAACCGAGTTCACTTTTGAACGAAATAACAGTAAACGGAATGAATCAGCTCGAACTTGAGGCCGTCGCAGTGTGTGTTTATCCACTGGAAAATAACATATTTCTTAAATATAGGATTAGGGTATGTACATAGTAAGATCATACCTGAAAATGAAAATAATACAACTCTTCCGGGGAAACGTGATTAAATTTTCCCATGGCGGCCAGCAGTGATAAAAATTTAAGGCCAACTGAGAAGAAACTTATGTAACAAACGGAAAGACATTTGAATCATAATCCAATTCAAAAGGTAAAATTCACCCTTAATAAAATCTATAGGGCGTCATTATATTCAATGGAGTCAGTTTTCTTCACGTAGACTATGCTAATCGTAAGGAAAAGCCATTTTTTCTACAAGCAAATTGTCATTTTCCTTCTTTCTATTATAAATGGAAATAATTCTCATGTTGATTACTAGTATAAAGGGAACATTTTTCGATTTTTAAAAAGAGACTTACGATCATTGTTATTCGTCGTTGCCCTGAGACAACATCCTGGCATAGGTTGATGAAACCTTAGAATTTCCGACCGTTCATGAGATCTTTAAGCAATCATCTCTTGTATTTGTCTATCTACCTTCGGAAGAAGACTTGTCATTGAATTAATGATTGGAAGACTGTAAAAAGGAATTTTACCTGAAATATCACAGTTGCAAAAGTAGGGTATAGATGCAGATGCACAACCAAATGAATTTAATTACTAACTTTGCTTGTAATATACCATATCTGTTATGCGCTTAAATCACCATTGCATGTTCATGAGGGTGTGTGTGTGTGTGTGTGTGTGTGTGTGTGTAGGTGGATGGGTGTGTGAGAGAGAGAGAGAGAGAGCGAGAATCTTTGTTTATTATTTGTTTCGTACATGTATTTTGAACTATACCGATTTCATATTTTTAAGATAAGCTGTTAAAGAAACTTATTATATTACAGGGGGACAGCGCATTTAATTATTTTATGAAGAAAAATATTGAAATATTAAGTAGCGGTAGACAGTCAAACTGCTTGGATCATGAATTTGTAGTTACTGCAAGAATAACTATATCGGAAATCGATTTTGATGGATTGACCATTTACTTTCAATTCCAATATAAAACAACTTTTGGCTATGTACAGAATACAAGAAGAATGATCACAGCTGTGTTTAAAGGTATAGATTAACTATCTCAAATAACCTACACTTACTCTTCAATAAAATATAAGCGTATGTAGATTTTTTTTTTAGCGAAAATTGAATTAATTATTGGGATTGTTGAGATTGTTAAAATTTATTATCGCTTACAATTCAATCCGCTTATATGGTAAAAGCGTAATTGCTATATCTTGCTGAAAATCTATCAACCATTTTAAAAGAATAATTATCAAATTTTCATGCCGCTAAAATTTATACTTTACGAAATTAAAAAGAAAGGAATAGACAAATATATTTGAGGTTTTGTTTTGCATGGAAAGGAAAACAGAGCAAAGAAAATTATTTTTTTCGTAATTGCGGTTGTTATTGCCGAATAAACAGTCGTACACTGAATTTTTTTGGATACAGCGTCAGCAAAAAATTTCAAATTTATTTTCCCCCGCATTTTTTAAACGTTTACGAAGGTGAACTAAAGCATTCTTATGATCAAAAATTTTAATTTCAGTTGTCGACAAGTATCATGTTTGCAAAGTAGACTTAGAGCTCCAAACCTTTGTTATTTAAACAGGACCCGTGCTATGTTTTTGTTTACATAAGTTACATATACTAATATAGGTTTATTCTAACAATTTTTTTCAATAAAGAGGTTAATTCTATATACTATTCAACAATTTCTGGTGATTTGCTGATTCTTGTTTTGTTATAAATATTTTCTAAATGAAAACAAAAACAAGGCACAAGTCAAGTTTACAAAATGAAGAATTTAATGTTTTGTAAATCCCTTTTTTAATAGGAGCAGAGCAAGAAATTATGTTCAATTTAATCAACAAATGATGTTCAATTTTTTGCTGATCATTAAAATTGCCTTAGTTAGGAATTGTAAACATAAAAGTTGGTTTTACAAAATTCACTTGAAAATGTGTCCATGTCCCTTTATCGAATCTAAACCAGATTTAACTCTAGCACATCAAAATAGTCAAAATTACAGAGCATTATGTTATATATACTTGTAGATGACCCATGCAAAGACAATCCCTGTCAAAACGGAGCAACTTGTGAGGTGAAATTAAAACAGTTTTATTGTAATTGTCCTGAAAGATTTAAAGGGCAACTTTGTGAAGAAAAAGGTAACAATCTATAATGAAAAATAAAACAATTCTACATTTCAAACATTAATAAGTTCGAAACAAATCGAAGCAGAACAGCTACATGTAGTCAAATAAATGAAAACCCGTATCTTCATTTTGATTCAGAATTTGGAATTTTTTACCCCCCCCCCCAAAAAAAAAAATCCTTAAGAGGCCCATCGGCCTTAAAAATAATCGGAGCATCAAGTAACAACTTCCAACAATTGAATTTGGTTCGTGTATTAAACCATCGGCTATGTCATTCACAATTTTGAAAGAGGCACATCATGCTTATCATATCTATGCTCTTCGCATGCTACGTTTAAATTTTTAATACCCATAAGCAGATAAGGGTAACAAATAAATGTACTGCAACTAATCAATAATAATCAATAATCAGTAGTGCCCAACCCCATAGGAATCCCTGACCCTGGGACCACACATTTCACAATTTTGGAAAAGGCACCCTTGTTCATCATAAATGCTTGATTACTACCAAGGAAAAGATTTCAAAGCATTAATTCATTTTCAGTAAATAATTAGAGCCCCCTCTAAAGCACCCTGACCCAGGGACCTTAAAATTCAATTTGAGGGCGCACCTTTGCTTACCATAACTATATAGATAGTTCATCTACTTAATACACAGGGGCAAAGGAGAAGAATTAATGCATTTTCAAAATACATAATTTATATAGCTTAGTAGTTATATTACCATTAACGTCTTTTTCAAGTAAAATATCCAAGTATGAAAGTCTGACACATCTGTTTCATACTTGGATATTTTACTTGAAAATTGAAAAATGACGTTAATGGTAATCTTACAACCAAGCTATATGATAAACGTGATGACTTTTACTTACAGCAATATACCTTCATCACCTGCATACGGAGCGTATATATCTCAGTTTATTCGATACGCAAGCAAGTTGATGAAACAAGAATATCAGTAGTCTCGTTTATTGTCTTCATTTCGTAAGTTCTATGGTCGATACAATGACCTTGTCAGCAAATACAATTTATCATTGAGTCAAATGCTGACTGATGTGTTTCATACTAATTGTTAGTCCATTATTTATACACTGAATTGACGACGGATGTTACCGTGATTTCCCGATCATGACTAGGAGCACACTAGGTATGACTGGTCAGCAGGGGATGCTCACTCCTCCATGGCACCTGATCCCACATCTGATATTTAGAAGGTCCGTGTTTCCTCTGCTCCTATTTTGTATTGTTTTACGGACTTTGATATTGAATACTGTTCGTTATCTCCATATCCTTTTTTCACAATTTAGGAAGAGGCACTGTTTCTCATCAAAAAAACATGTATGTATGTAGTAAGTTTGATTAATAGACAGAAGCAGAAAATATTTACACTATATAATTTACATAGCCCCCACCCTAACACCACAACCCCTGATTCTGGGTCAATTAAATTCACAATTTTGGTAAAGGACTCAATGACTATTACAGTTTGTCCCGATGTCCAGGAGTAAAGAGAAGATTGCATAAGATTTAAGATTGCATTAATTCTTATGTTGTTGGCCCCACACATCAGGCCCCCAGGGGGCAGGGACTATTTTTTTCTTCTATTTTCTTTCCCTTCACCCATTTATGCTAAAATTGGTTGAAATTGATTGAGCAGTGAAATTTGAAATGTTCGACGACGACGACGAATGATGACGGACGAAAACAAGGGGCAATAGGTCTCCTGTATTAACTCAAGAATATCTTCAAATTTAAATGGGATTTTATCAATCTCCCTGCACTGAAGTGCGCACCGTAATATTAAATATATAGGCCTTAGACTCTATGGTCCGATGGTCTGCGCCAAACTCCGATGGTCTGTTGTCGTAACGAACGCCAAAGTCCAATGGCTCTTTTTCAATGAGACACGCTGCGCTAAAGTGCGATGGTCTGACACGCCAAAGTCCGATAGTGTGGAAAAACAATCGACGTTTATGACGTAACAATAATTCTACGGCAATCCTTGACGCTTTTTTCCTGCATTCAAATGTCATAATTTCCGAATTTATCCTTGCATACGCTTTTATTCATTATGCGTATTTCTAACATGTTTCAGAGATATCAGGATAAGTCCTCGCACACCACTCAACTGATAAAGGTAAGTCCTTTTAATTGCTTTGATTTAGGATTAGCACACTACTTGTAGTCGAGTTATTAGGGTTAGTATCGCATCCACCCAAAATATCTGGATATCTATACAGTGTAATTATTAGGCCTACACACTTTACGAGCGAATAGGGTGAGTTTAGCACCTATTTGAGAGATAAGTGTTAGTTTTCACATAATGATAAGTATTTTAATATACTTATTTAAAAACTTGGCATAGTGCGGCATTGTAGTTTGGCGCATTAGTACTATGACGTCGTGAACGTTAATTGTTTTTAAGCACCATCGGCATTTGGCGTGTCAAACCATCGCGGATTGGCACAGATCATCGGACTTTTGAGTGATCATCGAACTTTGGAGCCTCATCGCACTTTGGATTCCTACATATATAATTTTTTTTTCAGTTGATCCATGTGATTCAATTTTTTGTCAAAATGGAGCTGCATGTCATAGTGATAAGGAAAATTTTAAATGGCTGTGCAATTGTCCCTCTGGATATACTGATAAAGTTTGTTCCACAAAAGGTAAGAAACGAAGGCAGTTTCAACATTTTTGTCAACTTTTAAGCCTATTTAAAACTAATCATGTATTTTATACAATTAAGGACTTTTTATGTATTGAATATAGCATTTCATTCCCCTCCAAAATATCAATATTGACCAAGGCGAAACTATTATATATAGTCAGGATTGGAATAAAATTGTAGGCTGCATAACAATTCCATGTTTATTAATGAACTTCTTTCTTAGAAAAATAAAAAAAAATGTCAAGATTAGTAAGTACTTATAACTTCCGTATTTTTCTTCCGCTCGAAATATTTAGAAAATAATCCCTGCGATGGACTTGCTTAACAATTTTCCTTGATATACAGAAAGTCTGGTCCCTTGTCCCATCCTTGATAAAGCTTGGGGTAGATTACTTTAACTGCAAGATTATCACGATCATTGTACTATGACGTAACAACAACCTCAATAAACTGATAAGGATTAAATTTTCACACTATTCCACTGATTAGGGTTAGTCTTGCACCCTCCTGAGAGATTAGGGTTAGTCCTTGAACAAGTATTAGACTGATTAGGGTTACTCTGCCCAGAAAATTTCGTCTAAGCGTATTAGTCCTTGCATACCCCATCCGATTGATTAGGGTTAGTGACTCGTTCTTTTAGATAAGTTAAGAAATTCAGTTGTTTCTGCAATTTTTGCAAGATCATATTAATTCAGCTTCAATGGCATTTCGTTCGTTTGTTTACACGAAGAATGGAAAAGTCCGAAAGAAATGACACTAAGCATGCGCCGCACGTGCTTCGATCAGAATAATTCTTACTCGATTATTTTTTTACACGAATAAACAATATCTGGTTTTTTTTTTAGAAAAAGAGTTTAAAAACTACGTTTAAAAACAAAGTTTTAAACTAAACCTTTAACCGTAGAAATTGATTTTGGCTTCAAAAGGCCAAAAAACCTCGTTTTATTTTTTTTCGATCGCTCACGTGATCTCATATATACTGAAGTACTACATTTTAGTGCGTTTTTATGGGGACCGGTAAAATAAAGTCGTTCCAAAGCTTGCGAAGAAGAATCCGGTGGATTACATTTGATGCTGTCTTTTGATTGGCCAATACAATGCGCGCTAATTTATGAGTTTTTGAGCCGTTGTCGTTAAAACAAAAATACATGTTGACGTCATAATGCAACATTATCCAAACGGCGTAGAAAAATACAACGTCAAAATTAATCAGCTTCTACAGAGGCGCAACTAGACATGTCGCCCTGAATTTATATCGTAGTCCACGCAAAGAATACGACGCATAACAGGAACAAGGCTAATATATAGACAGCTTTGGTCTATGTAACCATTGTTTTCAACGTTGCATTGTGACGTCACAATGCGCCGCACGCGTACTGACCCTCCGGTGCAAATGGCCTCAATTCCGGTGAATATGTATGATGAATAAAAGTGATGAACTAATCGTGTTTTTAGAAATTAAATAGGAAATATATATAGAATTTATGATATGTATAATATATATTGGATTACATTCGACATTTTCTTTCATGAAAATTCAAATTTTATGGTAGCAACTGACTCTGATTTTTTGTACATGTAATTGACTCTGATCAAAGTGAAATGATTGTCAACCAAACATGTCAATTAATGCTTAGGAATCCGCATTTGGTTGGTTAATTTCATTAAGCGTAAGAGAGTAGACAATTTTGATTTTGGCGTTATGATAGAAAATTTAATACTTGGAGAAAACACACAGTATTCAAACTCAAAACTTCAAAGAATGAAAAGCAAGAACAGAGCAAACACAGATCTGTAAAACATCAGAGGTGAAGTCAGGTGGAGGGAACACCCCTGCTGATCGGTCACGCCTTGTGTTCCTGATGGAGATATTCATATACGTTAAAATAGCATAATGATGGATCTTTTATTGTTCATTATAAAGTTTAATTTTTTTTTATAAAAACATTTGACGTGCAGTTTTTGTTGACAGAGTTTTTGGCGAAAGAATAGTTTCCCCAAATGTTAAATTTCTTAGGGTTTTAAAGGCACCAGAAACAGAAATAATTCAATATATTTTCATAAAATTTCTAAGGGATGTTAAATAAAAAAAACCAATCAATCAATTTTAGACAATCCTTTTTTAAACAGTAACCTCAAGTGCCAGTAAGAAAACATTTGATCCAGGTAAGTGGCAAACACATATTAATATTAGAATAAGGTCATTCTTTGAGACATTATTCAATTTTCAATCTTGAAATAAAAAAAAATCAACTCATCCTGATATAAATTCACAAACTTAAATGAGATTATATTTTTGTCGTTGAAAAATGACCCCCCACCCGTAGAAAAAAAAATCATTTATTGTAGAAAAAGAGTCCTAGGGGTCATTATTTTATATGTTAGTGCTATAAAAAATTGACCCCCATTGAAAAATGACCCCCTTTGAAGTGATACAAAATTTATAACAGGTGAGAGGGAAAAATATGCTGTATATTATAATTGTTCTTCCTTCGAGTAATTCATGATCTTTGTTCTTCTTAGCACGTAGGGGTAATAAAGTTCCTCATTTCTCTCTGCCGAAATATTGACAAATCAGTTTTAGGCAATTAAGAATTAATCAATCTTCATTTCTCTGATAAAGGAGCAAACCTAGAAAATCAAAGATAGTACATGTAAATTAATCAAACGCACGCTGGAAGTGAAATTTATGAATATATATATTTTTTTCTTTACTGACTCCATGGATACGTTGTTTCAGAAAAAATAATTTGTCGGGAGAAAGTAGAAATTTGTAGCAGACGAATTAATATCTGTGCGTACAAATAAGTAATTTGTTCGAATTAATAAGGTTTCATTCGAACGAGTGAGTAAAAATAGAAATGGATGACAGGACGCCTCGATGCTGTATATTTTTTATATCTTCCATCCTATACATGCAGACTATCACTATTTGATTAAAGATATTTTAAATCTTTGCAAATACATATTCTTTTTATAACCCCCCCCCCCCCAAAAAAAAGAACATTACGTTAAATCAAAACAAAAAGATAATAAATGAAAAGCAAAAATATAAATAAAACTCTATACCTTTCAATAATACTGAAAGAGGTCTAGATAAAATATTGAAATGAAGTTAAGCCTTCACACAAGTACTATCGTATCATAATTTACTTCGCCATGATTGAAGCATACTTTAAATGTTGGTGGGGGTATACTTGAAAGTATTGTGGCAAAGTAACAGTTGAAAATTAGTAGAATAGTAGATTATTTTAAGCTTATTTTTAGTCCCTCCATATAAAAAATAAAGGTGGGGTAGTTTTTTGTTGTTGTTGTTGCTTTTGTTGATAATCGACTTCCTCATAAATAAGTAAGGGAGTGGAATGGGTATAACACCTAAAATATGCTCTGTAAACCTATGGTCTGGTGTAAACACATTCTAATGAAAAAACTTTACATGTAGACATAACCTTTTGATTTAGCACACAGTATTCATTACATTTCTTAATTCTTGTTTTACTCCACCCCTTTACTCAGTTCTGAGTATATTTTTCAGAGAATTTAATCTGAAAATCAGAACAAACATTTTCATTTTTGTAACATCTTTTTTATACTGTATCATAACATGAAAAGTTAATTGAAGACCATTTCTTTTTATGTCCCCGTAATTGAAGATTCGGGGGTATATATAGTTTTATCGTGTCCGTCAGTATGTCTGTCTGTCTATCTGGCGGTCTATTTGTCCGCAAAAACTTTAACCTTGACCATAACTTTTCATTTATTGGAGCTTTGACTTTCATATTTAATATGTGTATTCCTTGTGACAAGACCTTACTTTGGGTGCCACCAAATTTGACCTTTTGACCTTTACCTTGGAGTTTGTCCCATTTTACACACAAGAGGCCCATGGGCCTTATAGGTCACCTGAGCATTATGCAACAACTTTCCAGTGATTGAATTTGATTCATGTTTTAAGCCAGATGCTATGGCATTCACAATTTTGAAAGAGGCACCATTGATCATCATAACAATACACTTAGCAGTTGCTTAGTTTGTTTACTTAATACCCATATGCAGGGTAAGGGAACAAAAAATGCATTTCAACTAATCAGTAATATTCAGTAATAATCAGTAGTGCCCCTACCACACATGAACCCCTGACCCTTAGGCCTTGATATTTGATTAATACCAAGGTGCAGATTTGAAACAATTCATTCATTTTCAGTATATAAGTACAGCCCCCCCCCCCCTTTCTATGGTACCCCTGACCCTGGGGCCTTGAAATTCACAATTCTGGAAGATATGGGCCCTTGTCCAGCATAACTATATAGGTAGTTCATCTGCTTAATACCCTGGAGCAGAGAAGAAAATTTTCAAAGATTTAATGTATTTTCACTGTATAATCAATAGAGCCCTGCCCTAACACTAGAACCCCTGACCCTGGGGCTATAAAATTCACAATTTTGGAAGAGGCATTCTTGCTTATTATAACTATGTACTTAGTTAGTTTATTTAATTCCTAGGAGCAGAGAATAAGATTTTCAAAGAATTCATGTATTTTCACTATATAATCAATACGTCCCACCCTAACACCAGAACCCCTGACCCTGGGGCCATAAAATTCATTATTTTGGCAAAGGCACTCTTGCTCATCATAACTATGCGCTTAGTTAGTTTATTTAATACCCAGGAGCAGAAGAGATGATTTTCAAAGAATTCATGTATTTTCACTATATAATCAATAGAGCCCCGCCCTAACCCCAGAACACCTGACCCTGGGGCTATATAATTCACAATTTTGGTAGAGGCACTCTTGCTCATCATAACTATGTACTTAGTTGGTTTATTTAATACCCAGGAGCAGAGAAGAAGATTTTCAAAGAATTCATGTATTTTCACTATATAATAAATAGAGCCCCGCCCTAACACCAGAACCCCTGATCCTGGGGCCATAAAATTCACAATTTTGGTAGTGGCACTCTTGCTCATCATAACTATGTGTTTAGTTGGTTTATTTAATACCCAGGAGCAGAGAAGAAGATTTTCAAAGAAATAATGCATTTTCACTACCTACTTATTTAGCCCCGCCCTAACACTAGAACACCTGACCCCAGGGCCATGAATTTCACAATTTTGGTAGAGGACTTATTGCTGATTTCAATCATGCAAACAGTTTGACTGCTTGATGTCCAGGAGTAAAGAAGAAGATTTTTAAAGATTGCATTAATTTTAGTGGTTTTGGCCCCACCCCTCAGGCCCCAGGGGGGCAGGGATCATGAAGTTCACAATTTTTGTTTCCCTGCACCCATAGATGCTTTAGGCCAAATTTGGTTGAAATTGGTTCAGTGGTTGCAGAGAAGAAGCTGAAAATGTTCAAATGTTAACGCACAACGCACGACGCACAACGACGGACGAAAACAGATAGCAATAGGTCACCTGAGTTTACTCAGGTGACCTAAAAATGCCAAATTTTTACTTTGGCCATAACTTTTAAACGGTAGATACTAGTACTCTCATACTTCACATATTTTTTTTTTGAGTGACCTTTCATTGGATACTAAAAACGTTGACCTTTTGACCTTGGAGATTTCCGTACATATGAAAAAAACTTTAACCTTGGACATAATTTTTGAGCGGTAAGGGCTAGGGTTTTCTTACTTCACATATGTAATCCTTGTTACATTAAACCTTTCTTAAGAAACTATCAACTTTGACCCTTTGACCTTTGAGTTTGGCCTACCTTTTAAAAACTTTAGCCATTACTTTTGAACAAGTTGTGCTAGGGCTTTCCTATTTTGCAATTGTATTTCTTGTGAGAAGATCCTACTTTGGGTACCAATATATTTAAATTGTATTTAAGAAAAGTTCAATCTTCGCTATGTTGCCATACAGGGGCATAGCTGTTTCACAAACACATTTTTTATATATAAGAGGAGTTGCGAATAAGAGATGGCCCCAGAGCGTAACAGACGGACGGACGAACATCCCGATCACTATATACCCTCCCACTTTTCAAGTACAGGATATAATAATATATAATACTGCTGATTTTTTCTGTCAGTACGATGATTTCCACCATCGAAAAACAATGTTTACCTAACCCTTTAGGCTCGATAAATCTTTTACTCCTTTAGATTCTGAATCATCGCACTGACCTTAAAATATAGTATAATTGTATAATTGTATTGTATAAGATCAACATATCATCAATTTATTCCCAATTAGCTTAGGTGAGCATTTTGGCCAATATGCTTCTTTATCTGATTTTTTTTTGCCCCCTAAAATTTTCAGCTTTAATCCAGAAGGAATCATTTTTCTACGGGGGTCATTTTTCTTCACGTGGGTTCTGCAAATTTTTAGGATGGTGACACTTTTTCTACGGGCAAAAGGATAAATTTTTCGACGTCGAATAATGACCGGGGGTCATTTTCACCGTAGAATATTGACAGGGGGTCATTTTTCGCTGTTGGAAAATGACCTCCGGTCATTATTCGACGGGGGTCATTATTCGTCTTTACACCGGAATTTTTTTGCATGGACATTTAGGAATGATTGATTGATACAGTTATATCTATGGAAACTTAATTTGTGCTTACTTGAAAATTAATTCATTCAATTACAAAAAAAAAAAATATCTTTTCATTTTTAGTAAATTTTATTTTATTATTCTCAGTGGGATATAACTTTATTCCAAAAAAGAAAAGACAAGAAAATCGGAGCACGTGGATGTCTGAATTTTAGTCTTGTTGAATCATTAAAATATATATGTATCTCAATAGCAGAAAAAATCTAAGACCCTCATAGTTCAACATGAAATGTAAAAAATTATAATAAACTGGAAAACAAATGCCGAGAAGGGTAATGTAAAACCTTAAAAACTTACTTTTGTTGATTATCATACGCATTTCAGTAAAATACACACCCCTTATATACGCAGTACAAAAATTGACGATTATGCAGTCTGTTTTACGGCGAGGTAATTTTTACTTAAAATTTTTGTTGAGAAAATTTATTGAAAATATAAGCACGATAACTTTTTGAACGCGGTAATCTATTCTAAATAAATACCTTTAACATCTGCCTTTTGTCTGCTTTTGTCAAAGAAAAGGAGAAAATGTCAATTGATATCTTCTCAGCATAACAAAACATATCTGTTTATTTATTCAAAACACTATTCCGATGGGAAATTTTGGTGATCATACTCTTACTTCTGGACAAAAGTTTTTATTACAAAATTTAAGTAGAAGAGTTCAGTCATACTGTAGGAGATGGTATACTAAATTTCTATCAAAAGACTGCTCTCAAAAGGGACGGGTCATATTATGGGCCAGGATGTCAACTGTTAGAGTATGCCACTAGTAAAAATATTTGAATTATGTTTTTTGCAATCCAGGGAAGTTGATACTGATGCTTGTATTCCTTTTTTGGTACCAGTCTTCCGATTCCAGTCTTTTAAATAGATGTAAGTTAGATTTAAGATATTTTGCATTGTAAAATTGCTAAGGAGCCCATTGGGTAATTGTGACCAGACAGAGAATCCTGTAAATTGGAGATATATAGTATAAATATAACTTAATTTTGAAATGTGACATCAATCATATTGAGTTTTGTCTTTGAGCAGGCATTTTGGTATGTTTTTCGCATGTCATAATTTGGTGGGGACTAAATGGAAGTGTTGATGCAAACAGTGAGTAAATATATTTTTTGTATTACAAAAAATAACAAAACTTTAAGTGCTTACTCTAATACATGCATTTATTTAAAAACTAACGATAGAATGGTATGATATTTTTTTCATACTATTATAACCAATGAGTCTTCTCAACAATTGTTGAAAGAAAATAAATTATCACCGATGAAAACCAATGTCCGGTTACGAAACTTAGAAACAAAAAATCTGTACTTTGCAGCACATATTTTGTGTAATCAGCTTCTTTTTGTGACGGGCTTGTTGTGATCATTATCAACTTTTAACAACTGATATAACTAAAAAAAAAACAAAAAAACAAAAGATAGACAAAATGGCTATTGAGGGAGGAGAGAGAGCTGTTGGAATGTTGATATCTGGAACATCCTTACGACACCTTTTATTCATTTTTACTTTAGTGTTTATTTGTTCTTGGTATTACTTTTGAAAATAAGCAACAAGTATAAAAATCCATGTAAATACAATAGAATAGAGGTCTCATTCTACCGCTATTTTTGATGTGAATTTTCATTTTGAGGGTACATCATGTCCTTGACACTTTGTCTTAAACCTGACGAGATACTCACATGAAATTGTTTGCAACATCAAACAAATGACCATGAATTAAAGTATTATTTATTGTATGCGTTTGTTCTTTAGAACTTAAAGCCCGAGATAATAAGCACCACCCTCAGATTTACGTGGCCTATATTCCCCCGTCTATCAAATGAATTAAGGTCCAATATTGGGTACTTGAAATTGATTGACATTTAGCTACTAGTCCCTATTTATATATCTTTCACCTTGTTTGGCCACCATCAAATTAATTTTCGGTCTTCTGATGTGTACCGCTAAATTACCATCGCAATGAGGAAGTCATTTCGATGCAAACAATTTTAGCTTGATTATAATTAATTATAATTATCTTTATTACAAATATGTCATTAAAAAATGAAAATAACCTCATAGCATTTCAATAAAGTAAATCCAGATTGTGTATATTTTTCCAATAAAAATTGCAAAGGTGATTAAAATCTCGTTTTCACTCGTAAAAATTAAGAATATTTCTTGTTTTGAGACGCGGCGAAAAATTACGGTGAAAACAAAGGAGAAAATAAGCTGGTAACACGTTTAGCATGTAATGCAAAATATATCATAAGTAACAACTTTGCCTGGACAAGTAGTAAAGTATTAAGAGTTTCTTTCTTTTCCCCCCTTTTTTTTATCCCGAGCATTTCGTGCTTTGTGGGTTGTTACCTCCGTTCAAGGTCACAGATGTTAAAAATAGTTTTGAAAGAAATGCATAAGTTAACAATAATTTGATATTTTGTTTTAAGTTGTTTAATTATAATCTAAATTTACTGAAAATGCACACATACTTGTATGTAATTTTAAATTTACAAAACCATCGTTATCGCCCATTTTTTCACAAAAGGATACAGAATGTACATTTTCTAAAAATAGGACCACGCGACTTTTTATAAAAACGGGAAATTACAGTTACTTTTTGGCTCTGATCGAAACTCTAATTGCTTCTATATTTACGATAATTATGAATCGTTTTTAAGATTTTGAAAGGGACAGACAGGGATGAGTATTTTACTTTTGAAATTTTACCTGTATTTCATAATTTTTGTTTTCCAACAAACTCAAGTTATTGCTGCGGTGACGTACCACAATTCATACCGGTGATTTTTACAAAAGTTGACCTGTGAGATTTCTGCTTGTTTGATATTAGATATCTGAAATTTAAGGAATTTTACAATTTCATTAATTACTTATAATATATTTATTTACGATGTCGCGATGAGGTTATACTCATGGGTTTCCCGTGTATCCTGTCTGTGTATAGGGATTAGTATGATCGTCAATGCCTCGGGTGCCACGCATGTAAAATTAAGTCGTTCCCCTTACCTGAGAAAACCGTACGGTTAAAAATCTCGAACTTTAACATAAGTGCGTCTGAAGACTAATCACGGGAAAATCAGAGCTACTCCCTGAGAATACTCTCTTAAGAATATCTATTAATAATTTAATTTAACTTGTAACACGTCATTTGATTGGATAAAAGATTTTATCCATTTTGTATAACATAACTTGCCTACGTCACAATGAGTTACGTCAAAAAACGTATTACTCCGCTTGACGTTACTTTTAAAATTTAATCAATGTGAAGCCTTATTCTGGGGTTATTATCTCATTGTCTGCACTGAAATTATATTATAAGAAGTGAAGTTTATTTCAACTTATATTATACGATATAACAAAACTTTGGCAGTTTACGCTTTTTTTAATAAACTTTTTTATAATCTTTGCGATGTATAAAGCGTAAACTGACCCAAGTTATGTTATATCGTATAATATATGTTGAAATAAGCTTCATTCCTTAAGTAATTTTAACCAATCAAAGTGTTCAGTTCAAGGAATCTCGAGTCTTTGACGTCATGTTATTAACAATGTAACTATGACGTAAAAACATATCGACATACGATGTCAAAATCATACTTGAATTTTAGCAAAATGAAGACAAGGATAATTCTTCGAACTGTCAGTGAAAATACTTTAAAAAAATAATTGTATTGTTTCAGGACACTTGCATTTCTTATCATACAATCTGTTAAACCACATGCGTTTGTAATTATGCCTCGACAGTGGTTTTTAAATGTCGGAATATCTGGTTAAAAAAATTAAATCGCCCATGATTGTTTCGATATAATAAAACAGTTATGGAATGTGAACTCGAGAAATAGCAAATTTATGGTTCCCCTCGTCAGGAAACTATTTCCCTCGGCGGCCGCCTCGGGAAATAGTTTCCTCCCTCGGGGAACCATAAATTTGCTATTTCCCTCGTGCCATCAAAACATTAAATAACAAATTTCACGAGAGACATACCTTAACAACACCACATTTATGAAGTAAACGTCTGGACTTTACTGAAATTAATGTTGTGTACATCTAGATTATTCATTATTCTATATAATATACACTGACCTAAACTTGTAAGTGTTTACGTAACATTTTTTTAAAGGCCGAGATTTTTAACCGTACGGTTTTTCTCAGGTAAGGGGAGGGACTGAATTTTACATGCATTGCACCCCGAGGCATTGACGGTCGTGCAGACCGTGGGAAATGCTTATCCTTATACACAAGCAGTATACCCAGGAAGTCCATGAGTACATTACCTGTACAGCTTTTTGGCCTACTCTTCATCATGAAATTAGAAGATCTCGACATCGTAAATAAAAAAAATATCATTAGTAATAATAAATGATAATTGTAAACTTCCTTAATTTCAGTTTTATATCTAATACTAGTATCAAACAAGCAGAAATCTCACCGGCTGAAAAAAATCTACGGTATGTACCTAACATTGTTTGTCACAACAGCAATGACTTGAATTCGTCATAAACAAAAATTAATGAAATACAGGTATAAATTCAAAAGAATAATACTCAACCGTGCCTGTCCCTATCAAAATCTTAAAAACTTGTCACAATTATTGAAATTTACTAGTAGTAGCATTTAGAGCTCCGATCACGGTCTAATAAAAACAGTAACTTCCCGTTTTTATTAAAAAAAGTCGCGTGGTCCTATTTTTAGAAAATGTACATTCTGCATCCTTTTGTGAAAAATTGGTCCTATTTTAGCAAGTGAACAATCTGTATCTTATTGTGAAAATTTCGCGATAACGATGGTTTCGTAAAGTTAAAATTACATAAAACTGTGTGTATATATAAGTAAATTTGAATAACTATTGAACAACTTAAAACAAAATATTAATTTATTGCTAACTTATGTATTTCTTTCAAAACTATTTGTAAACACCTGTAACCTTGAACGGAGGTAACAACTCAAAAAGCATGAAATACTTGGTTATGAAAAAGGGAAAGAGAAGAAAGAAACTTTTAATACTTTAATATTTATCCAGACAAAGTTTTTACTAATCAGCCATTTTGTTTTCAACCTTACTTTCCGTTACATGCAAAAAATGTTATCAGCTTAATTTTCCTTTATTTTCATTGTATGTTTTTCACTGCGTCTCAATACAAGAATCATTTTACAAGTGAAAACAAGATTTGTCACCTATGGGTTTTTCATTAGAAAAAATATATACAATCTTGATTTATTTTATTGAAACACTATGGCACCATTTTCAATTTTTCAATAAAATAGTTGTAATACAGATAATTATGATCGATTATAATCAAGTTAAAATTGTTTGCATCAAAATGGCTTCATCGTTGCGATGGTAATTTAGAGGTAAACATCAGAAGACCGAAAGTTAATTTAATGCTGACCACGCGTGTCAAACAAGGTGAAAGAGATATACACAAGGACTAGTAGCTAAATGTCGATTAATTTCAAGAACCCAAAAATGGACCTTAATTTATTTGATTGACGGGGGAATATAGACCAGGTAAATCTGAGGGCGGTGCTTATTATCTCGGGCTTTAAGTACAGGATATTTGGGGGCTTTAAATAGAATGGACAGGTTGCACAATTGATTCAAGGCCATAAGGCCTCTTGTTAGGGGATTCAGCTTCAAGAGAATCCTTTGGGGATTCTAGAGTTTATTATTATAAATTAAGGTCTTTCATCTCAGTGCAAGACGTTCACATTAAATCTGAGATTTTTTTCCACATTGTTTTCATCTTACTGATTTTGTATATACAGTTTTGAAATTAAATTTCATTGTATAATCTTATATTTATACATGTATATAATTGATTTGCAGATAGACTACATATTACACGGTATCCAACCGAAGGAGCAAAGGGAGTGCTATCATGTAGAATATATGCAATAACGGAAAATGTTTTGGTCGAATGGAATCATAACGGCGTCGTGATCAACTGTACATTACCATTGTCGACCTGCACTGCTAACCAATTTTACAGTGCATCAATAAGCCGAACCTTTTCTAACCTGACAGTTTGGAAGGCCAGCTTTGCAAGGGACAATGGGTTGTGGACATGCACTGTAAATAATCTAAAAAGCAGCGGTGCATTTTATGTTGTCAGTGAGTAAAACTGTCAAGTTACTTTAGAATAGTGAGGTTTTAGGTAACCTGAGTTATTGTATAGTACTTAAAGTACTTTCAAAGTTTTCAGGATAAGGTAGACTTAGAAATAACAGATGAGACAAAAATCTTAGTAAAGGGGCATGGGCATAGTTTCAGCTTAAACTGTTCAATGTTTTTCCATTTTTACAAATATCTAATGAAGGTTATTATTATGATCATCAGGAACTTTAGTTGTATAGATACAAGACAGATTTTGAGCTCAAGCCTTTGGTTATGTAAACAGGGTCCGTGTCAAGGTTTTGTTTACATAGGTTAAAGCTGACATGAAGTCTTAAAAACGCAACATTTTGATCTATGTACGACTTGTTTCATACCAACTATAGCCGTATTCCGCTATATTTCTTATAGATACTTTGTCTTATTGTATCGATATATACCCCAATGCGCTCGTTACGCTTAAATGATTTTTGGCTTGGCTATCAACTTGTGCACATCTCTGATGGATCAAGAATTTGAGAATACATGAGTTTACCAAGATATTTCAAAACCACAACAAACAACATAATAATCATACTTCTGAATAATTATTGATTTGAATCAATTGCAAAAAAAAAAAAAAAAAAAAAAGAAAAAAAAAAAAGAAAGAAAATGCATGTTTGGAAGAAAAATTTACTTGCACGAGTATGTAATTTTATAGTGCGCAAATTTATGCAGAATAAACTTGAAATAAAAAGCAGTAAAACCCGTAAAAACAATTTGAAATTATTATCATTTGAATGAAAGAAAACAAACGGCGTCTTTGATTTGCAGATCTTATGCAGTTTATGCATGTCGGAAAAAAGCGTCGAACGATGTAAACATACCCATACCTGGTAATAAGATAACTGCATCGGTTCGAAGATGTGCACATGTCACCCTGAGTTCCATTTATTGAAATATGCATCACAAAAAAAAAAAAGAAATGAATTCCATAAAAACTCGATGGTAAACACACTGTCACTATATATATATAGCTACCCCGTACAGTCTAACACGTCGATAGACTTAGTCCGTGCTGATCAGATTTTGGTCAGGGAAAATATCACAAGTGAAAATCGAACTTATTTGGTATTTGCGCGGCTGAAAAGGGGGGGGGGTTAAAGTATATTAACTGCTGTTCATAAGGTATAACTGAAAATTGTCTTTCTAGTTTTAATAAACATTCTATATGTAGTTTGCGGTTGCTTTGCATCTCAAAATTCATTTGTCAATTTCATCTTATTATTTTAGTACTAATCTCAAATCTAAACCAAGTAAGATTTTATATATGGCATTTATTTAGATCAAGACTTAAAAACTTTTAAGCAGAATACAAATTTTATTTGTACATCTGTACGTTCTTTAACATGTACACGGAGAAAGGTCATCCCCTGTTTAAATTGACATTTAGGCATTTGTATTTTTAAGCCGGGGGGGGGGGGGCAGAAATAATTGACATGACCGTTATCTAAATATTCTTGGAAGAGAGACATTTCTGTCAAATCCAATTTTGAGATTATTTTAAATTTTAATGTCTCACTCCGACCACAGAGTATGTACATTTTGAGGAATATGACTGATATATGATTATGTAGCTACAGAAAGTCTTTCAAGATTTCAGTATCCCTGCCTGACAGTCTAGTTATTTTTTTAAAAAAATACTTTCTGTAGGAATATTTGGGAGATAATTTAAAATATATAATTCTTTATTGAATAACTTTAAGCCATAAGGCTCATCAGTATAACAAAAGCAAATATGAAGAACGAATGGCTAGAGTCTGCGGTGCGTGGAACCCCTGGTGTCCATCTGTCTGACTCCTTTACACCAACAAATGCACAATACATTCACATTCTCCATTATTATTGAAAAATAGCGGTAGCACATAATACACGTATGCATATAAATTAAATTATTCATTATTTCTTAGTTCCATTGCATCATTGGAGAATAAATTTTCCTAAACCAATTACATGTAAAAGACTGACATCATAAGAGCTGTGTAACAGAGTAAGCTTGTACATATTTGGAGATCTGAAATAAAATGGTTTGATATATTTTTTTCTTAAAGTTTCATAAACAGGACATTCGAGGAAACAACAATATTTATCTTCTAGACATTGATCACTACAAAACTAAAATATTCTATTCTTTCAATTTTCTGATACATGTATCTTCATGTTTCTATACTTAGGTAATGGGAAGAAAGCCTTATTCTTCAATGTTGTAATATTTTTCTTTAACTTAGAATAAATAGGTTTTGTCAAATATGCACGTATTTTGGAAAAATTGTCCCACACAATGTGCTTGTACAAAAACACTTTGTTTTTTCAAAAAAGCATTACAATCTTGAAAGTAGATATCAAACAGTCTTTCCTTGTACAAAGATATAAACTTTGTTGTATTAACAAAATCTTGATAAAACCAAATATCTCATCTTTAACCTCTCTAGCAAGGGTAGGGATACTTGAAACCTGGTTGAATACGTAGAATTTGTAGTACACTGATCTCTCTCTCTCTCTCTCTCTCTCCTGTAACCACCCGTGTAGCGCAATAATAGTTTGTAATCGTACGCAATTTGTACTGTGCCATTTATTAGCCTGTCGGGCAGATCAAGGATTTTTTTCGGGCGGGTATGTCGGAACTTGTTCAATAAGTGGAATAATAATTTTATTTTTGACAAGAAAATAAACCTAAAAGCCCGAATTGAAGGGGAAATAAACGTGAAATATACATCAGAGGAATGGGAACTTTGGGAACTTTCTCAAATACCTTCTCAGTAAGGAATCTGGACAAAAAATATTTAGACAAGAGGAATAAAAAAAAGCTAAATTTAGATAGAATGTGGAATTCTCATTAACCCTTACCTCTCGGATGGATGCAACACTAACCCTAATCTGTCGAATAATGTGCGAGGACTAAACAGAAACTGCTTAGCTGTAGACCTGCCGACATGTGACGGACCTGCCGACCTGTATATTAGCAAATGTTTACCTGCCGAACTGTCGACCTGTTTGAATTTCAAGCAGTAAAATATAACCAAATCACAACTATATGAAAGAATATCCGCCGTAATATGGAATTACATATCCGTTAACTCCACTTGATCCGAGTGTTATGCATGTTTTATTACCCCCCTCCCCCCCCCCCCTTTTCACAGAAAACTCTTCAAAAGATGAAAGATTCGTAATGATGCATGCTATATAATAAATTTGATATAGTTAAGCCATGTTCATAAATTTTATTTAGAATATTTTCATACAAGACTAATATTTATTTCTGGAAAAAAATATTTGCATTAATTTTTCAATCAACAAAAATACCAGTATGCTTTCCACTTTTGAAATTTTTCTTGACTAAATAAACTGATCGGCATGGACCACGTGTGTCCAAGTGCTATGCGGTGACAATTTTTTTACTTTTGAGTTAGTAATGGATTACATGATTCCTGAGATGCATATTTCAATAAAGTAAAATAGGACATTTCTTTCGACATGTGCACATCCCTGTAACAATAGCAGTATTCAGGTAAATTAGTTTTTATCACTGCGTTCGATGCGTTTTCTCGACCTGCACGCGTGCATATCCAAACGGTTTTTGCTGTACGTGAATGTATTCCATGTTAGTGTTTTTTTTCTCTATATTGCAGCAAATGCACTCAAAAATAATTTGCTGTCAGTATAGTTCTAGTTTTTTTTTGGATTTTTACAACATGTATTTGGTCAGTTTATGGATTTCTAAATACTATGCTATCGGAGATGTGTACATGTCGACAGCCAGGCTAGAAAATCATTTAAGTGAAACAAATGTACCAGGCTTTATATAGCAGGTACAGGTGGCAAAAAAAATTTCGATTAAATATGACGGAATCGAAGAAATATGGAGGACAAAGGCGTACTGGAATGTAGTAAGTCGTACAAAGATGAAAAATGATGCCTTTTTAAGACTTCATGTCAGCTTTAATATACTAATATATACTCAACAAAAAAGAAACGCATATTGTTTTACTCATCAAAGAAGTTTGGAAAAAGTGTGTGGAACAACTACCTATTTATTAATTGGATACCTAAGATCTGTTTAAAGGACAACATGGGGTTTTCAAACCCAAGTGTTGAATTGTTTCCCTTGAATAATAATGTTTATGAAAATAGTGTTTTTCATGATTTCTTGTAAATCTGGGGTCTAATTTCGTTGATATTTTGGATTTAGAGAAACAATAAACACTCTCATTAACCCATAATTAAGATTTCATAACAATGTTGAGTCTGCAATTTCACGCTTTAACAAAGATGAACGCAACACGGACTAACTATGATGATAACCGGAGCAACGCAACTGCATTTAGTGTACATCAGTCGGCTTTGCAGCGGTGTAAGGTACGTCTCCACCACCTAAGACCACGGATAACAGGCCAAATAATGGCCGTTAACGGGTTACCACACCCAGAAAAGACCCTCAGACCCCTTTTTCAGCAATCGATTCAGAACTGTTTCACAAACTGCTCCTACAATTGCTGGTTGAAGAAAGCATTAAAGTGCACAAATTGCTCGCAAGAGACTGAGGGGAGATGGTATTCGTCCACGACATCCGTACGTTGGAAACCCACTAGCGTTAAGACGTCACACAGTACATTTTGTTATGCCCCTTGAATTTGGGGTGATAAAAATGGGAGGTCAACATTACCGCTACATTGTTCAAAATTTCAACTCATTACCGCTACATTTTTCCAGATTTTCGACCGATCATTACTGCTACATTTTTCCGACAAAAACAACTCATTACCGCTACATATTGAATCAGCCAAAAACAACTCATTACCGCTACATATATCGATTTAGCCAGGTATGGTTCGGCATATGAGTTCTAATCAATAGAATTGGGACAGTGGTTGAAAGTTTTCTTTGGATTGGGTTTTTTGGATCCTCGAGAAGTTGAAGAGTGCATTGTGTTTGATGTTTTTGTACAATTTGAGCATATGCTGATGTTGAGTGTGAAAGTTTTCATAAAGAATTCGGCACAATGTTTTATAGTTCACATCCGAGCATTTCTGATTTCATTTGGCCAAGGTTCATGCTGTCCAGACAAAAAGATACTTGAAAATGCGTGCTGCAAGAAACAGGATTCTCCCAGGACGAAAGGAGAACAACACACTGACAGCACAAAGAAGGGAACTGAAAGCTAAATACTACAGTGGGGAAATGACAAGGCAACAATATGTAAAGCAAATGGCTTTCAAGGCTTTACCGATAGTGTAAAAAAAAATTTGACAAAAATTAGAATTTTATCTATGAACAGTGCTTGATTTTAATTTTTTTTATTTTTTATGAAACATCCTGTTCCAAGTCCTATTTTCACCTCCCCGTGGTGAGCAGGGGAAACGGGTCGTATGCATTTATAGGTTGTACTGTACACTCGTAAGTGGCTGGCTAACGAAAGAGGCAATGTAGCGGTAATGTATACTTTTTTATGTAGCGGTAATGTAAGGTTTTTTGTAGCGGTAATGACTATGTAGCGGTAAAGAAAATTTTGAAAACGTAGCGGTAATGATACGCACCCATAAAAATGACATCAACTTGACATTTCAATTTGCAACATAGGACATGTTTGATTTTTATCACAACACACTCTAGAATCACTTAAATAGAATAAGGTTTAAACAGAAAACTTAGATTTTCATATTAATCTGAATATGCGTTTCTTTTTTTGTTGAGTATATGTTCATTCAAAGCAGATAATTTCAATGAAGTAGTGAACTCTAAAAACGATTAAACAGTTCATAGTGATTTGCTGAATTTCATTTTGTTATAAATGTGTATGATATTTTCTATATGTGAACAAAAACAAGGCACAAGCCTTTGCGTACATTTTGAAGAACTTAAAGTTCTGTATCTCGTATGTTAATCAACAAATGGTGTTCAAATTTTTGTTGATCATCAGATAATACCTTTGTTAGGAATTGTAAACATTAAAACTGGTTATAAAAAATCAGTTCAAACTGTGTTCAAGCTCCTTAAAAATGTTCTTTAAACAATGCCAGTATAAGAGGTAATAATAATAATGGGTAAAAACTTGCAAATTTTGTTAATAGTGTGCGTGGCAATAAAGAGAAATTGAAGACAGGTATACACTAGATCTTTAGCTTATTGATCCTAATCATACTTTCTTTGCTTTTGGGCAACAAGGCTTCCTTTAATCAACTAAGGATCCCCTAAATTATTGATATACATTATATGACTGTATGCAATACTTTAAGAAAAGAATATTTTTTCCCATTAATTTTTACGCCGTTAAGGAAAAAATTATGAAAAAAAAAAATCAACTCGAATAACACACCAACAAATTAAGGACAGATGATACATACAAACAAAAAATGGATGCCTGGATTGGTATATTTTTTTTGGCTTAATTTCAATGCAAATGATGCAAATAATAAAATTCTAGAATATAAAGAAATTGTAAACCTTCTATAGTGTTCAAAAGTCTGCCCTTCTGAAACGATCCTTATTAATCTATACAAATATTTTTTCACTTCAAATTCTATTGTTGTGCAAATTTTAATAAAAAATTAAAAACTATGCGGTAAAAATTATTTATTTTACACATTTTAACATGACCCAAGTTGTTATTTTCAAATTCTTTGACAAAAGTTTGTTTGTATCATCTGTCTTTAAGAGAAAACTCTAGTAGGTTGCTTCAATAATTATCGCAGTGGCTAATGTCAGGCCCAGTATATAATAGAAAAGATTAGAATCCATTCCCAAATTAAGGCCTAATCGCTAATGGGGAGTGGAATTATGACGTTATATTGATTACATATAAATACACATAAGTATTACTCTAACTATTTAATTCCTTGTTCAATTTGTATGTCATAATGATAAAACTAGATTAGTAGCATAATAAAACTTTGATCAAAAGACCACAGGGTCATAAAATAGGTCAATTTCCGATTTTTATCCTTTTTATGCCAATTCTAATCAATTTTACAGCATCTTTCTTTCGGAAAACACAGAGCACAAGCTTGCCTATCTACCTAATTTATACGGTGTATATTCGATGCACTAGTATCAGATGATCTTGTGTGTAAAAATCTCAGATAGGCAATTTTGCACTCTATGTTTTCGGAAGTGAAAAGTATCTCAGATTTGACAAAATTTCACCAGAATTTAAGAAATTCGGGAAAAAGCCCTATTTTTTCACCCTCTTATGGTCTCTTCTTGTATGCTTAGAATCAAAATTAGTACTCGTTTAAAAACAAGCGTCAATTTTAGTTCTTAAATACGAACTATTACAGTTTTAATTTTTACACTAAATAAGGGACCATATTCAGCGGTTACCATACCTTCTCCTTTATTGAAAAATTGGTCACTTATGACAGGGAGCACACGGCGGATATGACCGACAGATAGGGGGATGTTTTCTCTTGAATTGCACCCGATTTCACCTCTGGTGGTTTTAGGGTTCCGAGCTTTCTCAAAGTATTATTTCAATGGACTTAAGAATTTGATAACTGTTTGCAATCGTCATATTTATGCCCTATCGAAGAAGGGAGGGCAAATTCTTTTCTTGTTATCGGTCTGTAGGTGGGTCCACCATAAGTTTCCGTTCATTTTGTTTGCAGAAATTGCACAAGATGAAATGAAATTTGGTACAGTGATTTATCATAAACATATAAGTCAAGTTTTGTTTTGGGTACGATCGGACTATTTTGGACAGATATATGCGCCTTGGACTCAGAAAAACTCCAAGAATTTGTTGTTTCCTTTCATTTTCTTTGGAATTGTTGCAAATATTGAAATGAAATTAGGATACATATTTATCATAAGAATAAATAGGTTAATTTTTGGTTTGGATACAATCAAGGGATTTTGGACAGAATGATACCCCTTCGACTTAGAAAAATTCCAATTATTTGGGGGAGGGGGGGGCAGAAATGTTTTACAAACATCTCTTGTTTATAATGCAATTACTCCTGTATTTCACACGTTTACATATAATGGCAATGTAGGATACATCCACGCTATATGTGTAAAGTTTAATCATATAAAAATACAGACTAAAACAAAACAATTCTTACTTTGTTCATGTGATTTCTTAAAGCTGAACCTAAAACATTTGTCATGGAGAAAAGAAACGAAAACAACTTGACGAGAAATGATTTGACAATGACAGCAGAAGCATACTGTGTTTATCCTAACAGTGCAGACACATTTCTTCTTTATCAAGTAAAGGTAAATTGAATGTGAGAGAGATCGAGAGAGATGATAATATTAACTTGAATAACATTAATTTATCTAAAATAAGACTATTTTTTTTAAATTTTGTGTTCATTTATCACTTTGATATATTCTGTAATTGAAAAAAAAAATTGAAGTAAATTGGAAGACTTCTGTTGTGTTTAAAATGCAATTGTTTAAGTAAATTAGAATGTCAAGCCCTGCATATAATTTTTGATTGAATGATTACAGCAGTTAAATGATCAGTGGTAAACGAAGTAATACATCGAAAACTCACTTTGAAAATTATAAATTACCACCAACAATTTCTCAGTGAACATTTGATCTAACCAAAAACTGTCACTGTAAATAGGGTAATTTTATCGACTAAAGAAAAAGTCAAGGATGACATTTCACAGATAGTTCAATTCCTTGCTCTAACATTAACTCTTATGTAAGTAGCCTTCTCCAATTATAAATAGTTTGTTCGAATATATATTTTTGCGTATTGAAGCAACTGTAGCAGCATAATGCATGCACACAGTGCATTAATGCTTTCTAATTCAGGGAAATTGACAATAGAAAAGTAAAGAGAAGGGAAAGTGACAGTAGAAAAAAATAAGTTTAAGGAAATTAACAATGTCAGTTAATTGTGGTAATTTGTCAAGTACATCTGTCTATAAATTTGTTTATAGCTATATTCTGAAATTACTTCTAATGTTTGCCTTAGGCCATTTTGTTAAAGTATAAAAATACATATTTGTTAAATAAATTGGCAATAAATACTTTAAACAACAAATTTACCTTCTTTCTTTTTTTTTCAGGGCGATCCACATTTTCAGAAATTTAAAAGACGAAATTTGTCTTTATATTATGATGATGGTATAAAATTTGAATGTGACAACAATGAATATGTTTTGCGGGCGACAGGATTGATTAAACAATCTGACTTCTCTAGTGAATTACGCGTGAGGTTCAAATTCCAGTACATATCGCTTAGCGGAAAAGAATATGAAACTAAGGCATCAGAATTCTTCAATTTTACTGGTATGAACTACTTTGATTACAAATTCATTTCTAGAGCTACAAACCCCTTGAAGTGGACTTGAATTTAAGAGTGAGCTTCACGTCGGCAATAATAAAACTCCTTAACTGCGCTTTAAGCATGCTATATTTTACTGTTATTTAAAGGAAAATGTGTATATTTCCCCCGCTAGACTGCACAACTACAAGTAAAAAAAAAACGTAAAATAACAAGGTATTAGTTGTACAAAATTCTGGTTAAGTCAGTTAAAATCTAGAAATTACTGGGCTATAAAAGATGTTACTTAGAGTACTTAGATGTTACTTTTTGATTATATCTTGGACAGAATAAAGTTGGCATAGGATATCAAAAATCAAGAGCCACTTTGAGCCCTATTTGGCCCTGAGAATTTTCTGAAAAATCAAAACCGCTCAGTTTCGGTTGCAAATGCAGTATTTGTCACTTGGAGTGTTGGTGAGCACGTATCTATTAATCATGACGTAATTTTCCCTCTATCAAATGCATTATGACGTCATAAAATGCGTCATTTCCCTCATATTCTGTAAATTTCTTTGAAAATGGCCTAAAATTGAAGTATTTTTTCAATATTTCATATACTGCACAATCTCTGATCCAAAATATGCAAATACGTAATGAAAGATATCTTTCTGAATAAAAAAAAAACATGTTTTATTTTTTGGATGGTGCGATGTGCTCATATTTTAATTATTTGCTGAAGGTAGTCAAATACGCATGTTTTCTGCTATTTCTTAAAGCCTATTTCCCAAGATCTAGATTTTCAAAAAGAAATTTTATTTTTAGGAAAAAAGCATACATCAAAGTGCAGGAATAGGAAAAGAATCCTGACCTTTCTTTCTTATTAAGATTTATCGGCTTACCTTTGTAAACCTATGACCTGTTCATATCTGTTTTTGTCGTGATTTTTAGCTTCTCTTCAGCTGCCGCTAAACCTTACGTATTGAGGGGTCGTACCTGGTTGATTCCAGGATTTCGGAAAAGATTGATATTTACAATAAATAATTTTCCTCTTAAAAATAATTGGATAAAATGATTGTGCTGCAAATATATACTACTAGTATATTTACTAAGAGATGAAGATTACAATTGCACCAGACAGACACCGGTTATGCCTTATTCAGGCTCGTAGTGTCTGCCACGAAGTTAAGTCCTAACCTACTACTAGTGGCCAGCCTCTGACAACAGAGGATACTGAATTGTTCTTATTCAGAGACTTACACTATAAAGGTTACCAGGCAAACCTTCGAGGGTTGACTTCCCTCTCTGGTCGGCCTCTAAATGGTTAGTCACACACCAATACTACTAATTAATTGTAGCAAGCCTTTGCTGATAGGCAATCCACCTAATATTTTCAAATTATTGTGGTAAGCCTTAGTAGCACTAGGCCACCCACCCAACTAACCATATCGCCTAAACATGCCTATTCTCCCATCTGGCAATCGGACTAAAAAGAACACCACAGCTTAGCTGTGCTCGCTTATATAGCTTTGTTTTAGGTCATGTGATTTGCTTCAGCCTATCACAGATCGTCAAAGGCCGACTTGCATAATTAGAATACACAAAGTCTAAAGCGTTACATTTATTCAATGTTGGAAAAGTGTTGCATGATGCCCTTGTGACATGTAAGGACCATGGACCTTTTGTTTATTAATACCAAATCATTTTCATTTCAGACGGTCCTTGTAACTTTGTACTTTGCAAAAATGGTGGACGCTGCATATTTGACGCAAAACTAGCCTACAAATGTATTTGTGTAAATTTCTTCAGTGGAAAACATTGTGAAAATTGTGAGTTTTTATAGTACGTTATTCTTTTCTCGGTGAATCTGAAAGATAAAATTACAGGAATTTGTGATCAAGATAGTGATTTTTTTTTTAGAAATTGCCGATAAAGCTTTTTTCACACCTAAATTAAGTTTGATTTGGATCCACTTTGTTTTATTTCAACATATTATCCAATAAACTCGCTGCTCTTAAGACAAATGGCTAAAAATCATACTCATTGATTTAGGATCTATAAATAGATGTGTAAAAAATAACTTTTCATTTGAATTAAGTTTTCCTCATTAATTGAATGTGTAAATTGAATCATGACTTTAAAAATAATACAAAATTTGAAAATAAACTGATGACAGAGGGTAACTTTTTGACTTCATCAATTTGTATAGATTTTCCATCAAATTTTGTGTGATTTTCGACAAATATGCAAATGAGCTATTACTACAAATAGATGCAGGGTTCGACATTTTTTGTGGATATTCTGACTTCTACTTTTATGTAGAATATTTAAAGCCATTTAAAACTCAAGTTGCAACCTTCCATTTGGACGATTTTTATGCACCCGGATCGATAGATCCAGGGCGTATATTATTTTTGTCCTGTCTGTCTGTTTGTTTGTTTGTCCCGAACTTTAACCTTCACCATAATTTTTGAACCATGAAAGATAGAGACTTCATATTTGGTATGCATACTTCACTAATTAAGCTCTTTCAAATGACACCAAGGTCAATGACCTTGTGACCTTCACGGTGGCCTATATGCTAAAAATAGCTTTTTTCTGCAAACTTTAACCTTTGCCATAACTTTTGAACCATGAAAGATATAGACTTCATATTTGGTATGCAAACTCCACTAATCTGGTTCTTCCAAATGACACCAAGCTCAATGACCTTGTGACCTCGACTGTGACCTTAATGCTAAAAATAGCTTTTTCCGTTGTTGCCGCCGGGCGCATAGTGTTTAACAAACACATCTTGTTTGAATTTTGCATGGTTATCTCGCGGACTGGCTCTTAATATATATATATAATAAAAATACAAATAAAATAGTTGAATGGAATTGTTTTATTCTTTTTATGACATCTGACTTAAACTGTTAAACTTATTTTATCAACTGAGTCATTCGGATGACCTATAGTTGTATAGTAATCCTCTATCTTCGAGTTATGTCCAAGACACGATGTAGTTACGATATCGACACACTACTTCCATCTATATTACTAGTATTGTGTATTTAACATGTGTTACTTGAAAACTATCTTTTATAAAACGTTCCCTGCAGTGTCGATATCGTCGATATCGACGATGTCGCCTTCGATATCGAATCATGTTTGTTCAGCCCTTTGTAAATACCATCCCTGTTACTTTGTATGTGTATTTAAGTTTGATTACTTTACTTTTACGAAGATTGTACCTGTCATCGATATCGTCGATATCGATGATATCGTATCGATATCGAATTCTGTTATACAAAATCTTTATTTTTAACATATCCAATGACAATAAGTTCTTTGTTTCTTCATGCAGCGCTTGTGCATATTTACTTTCTGATTAATAAATTTACGGTACTGTCGATATCGTCGATATCGACGATTTACTATCGATATCGATTCATGATTGATAAAACATATTTAACAACTTTTACCCTTACCCAACATCTTACTCTAAACCTAATCCGAAACAATAAGAACCACTAACCCTTTCCTTATCATAATTTAATTTCATATTGAATTTCATGCTAATAATTAATGAATTTGACATCACTTGTGACCTTGTAAAATTATGTTATACCTCACTGTGAAAATCAATTCTACAAATAGGATCGATATCAATAGGATATCGTCATGGTATTGTCGATATCGACGATATCGACATAGCACAAAGTCTCATATATGTTACCAATTATTTCAAATTAATAGTGCTCATCACGATCGATATCGATACGACATCGACATAATATTGTCGATATCGTCGATATCGACATCGAATTCGCTCTTGGACATGTATGCTATCTTCTTGCAATTCTTGTTTTAATTTAGCATTTTTAATTTCTTATCGAACGTTCGATTAATTTTTACAACTTATGTCATATAATGCCCCACGTGCATTAAACCCAATTTTGCATTTAAATAAAATATTGTTATTTTTTTCTTTTTATATGTAAGTTTTATTGTAAGCATGAGTATTGGATAACTTTATTAGAGTAAATATAATGTTATTTCTTCATATGAGACTTTGCTTTGCATACTGCATACCGATCTGTTAACATTTTATTCACCGTAGCACTTCAAAAAGCAGATAGCAGCAGACATCAAAAGAAGAATGACACAGGTAAGTTAAAGTCATTTTAAATTATTTCTACTAAATAAAAGAATAATAGAGGAAGAATTTATTAAATGGGACTTTAAAACGAGATGGTTGAATTCACTGTAACATGTACGTATCTGTCCCTGACCTAGAAATTCTTCTTAAAGAGTTCTGGACTATCGAATAAGTTTGGAGAAGTTTGGAGAAGTAAACATCATATGCAGATAACCACGAAATACTGCTTTATGTACAAGGAAATTTGACGATGGAATTCTGCAATTTTTCTGTTGTCATACCGTTAAGTTGTTTAAGGCCTCTATCGTCTATAGTCATTAAAATACCCGATATCAAATCAATGCAACAGACTTTGTGCAGTCTTATGTTTCAAGATCGCTGGGATAATACATATCTTAACATTAAACAGCAAGGAACATTGAATGCTGACTGACGTTTTCCTTTCTTATTGTTGGTTAATTTTTAAATTGTCTAAGGATCCTTCCGTTTGCCCGATTATGACAATGAGCATAAGGCGGGTGTGGCCAGATGCTTGTTTCTTCTTTGTACCTTATAACCTCTGATGTTTCGTGTTTACTTATTTGACCTTGGTTTGTCTTGTTTCAAGGGACCTTTGATGAGAGAATCACTGTCTAGTTGGTATAGTATGTCAGGGCATCAACGATAGTAAGAAACATGGCATCGCCCATTATGCGAAAATCATCCAACTACAGTATCGTTGATGTCAGTGGTATACTATACTAACTAGACAGTGATTCCTTACATTTCCATTTCATTGTGAAATAAAATTGTAGATATAGATTTTAAAAAAAATATTGACATAGGTTTAAATTATACGAGGACTCCCATGCCACTTTAATAGCCAACTGACGTCAAACACAATGGCAGCCGCACGATACTGACATGCATATTTCGCCTCCTTAGCGTCAGACACAGAGACAGATGCGCACGAGGTTTGCCTACATATTAGGCCACCTCGTGACCTATCGACCTGCCTAATTTGCATTCCGGTAACTTTATCGAGAAATCAACTCCGATAAATTTCAAAGAGCTATCACACAGAGAAAAAAAAGAATTTAAATGGAAATATTTTTATTATTGTTCGGTATCTCCGTATTTCATTTATATAAAACAAACAAAGATAGCAAAGGAAAATTTAAGAAAAAAAAATCTTCCGAAATCAAAACGAAATATTTAACTTGGTTTACTTAAAGTGGTTTCTTTTATTTCAGGAAAAGTCTGTGTTTGGATTCTCGTATCTGCTGTAATTGGTTGCATCATTGGTGTTATTGTGTACATCGTCTACAAGAAACAGAGAGCATGCTGCTCATGTCCCTCGATGGAACATGAACCTATTCCAACAGTACCCCATTAGATTTAGCATGTTATGTGATCATGTGATTAACAAATATTATTTATTAGTGCTAATCTCAGAATGCCATATTCTTGATAATATAACTAAGATACGTTTTTAAATTATCTTAATCTTAATCTTAAAGTGCATAAAAGGATAAGAAAATGTATCTCAGCTTTCAAAACTTGTGAAATACGTTCTATTCTTACTATGGAAGTTCTTGATTCGCTCTTTTGTGAAGGATATGATATAACGAACAGTACTTAATATCAAAGTCCATAGAACAATACTGTGTTTGAGAGGCAAATACTTTATAAATCGTTTGTGATTTATTAGAGAAAAAGTTCATTGACAAATGATCCGGTCTGTTGATTTTATAGCCGTGTGTTTTTCTTTACTGATTACAAGAAGCCGCGTCCTTGTGTAAGCCAGGATTTCCTCTGATATTCTTTACAACATCAAAGAATGCAAATTTAAGTAATAAATAAAGATTATTCAGTGAACATGGCATTATGAATAGCAATAGCTCTGCTGGAATACTTTCCATTTTTAAATTCTGTATTTAAAGTTTTTTAAAGGGTACTTAAAAATGGGTAATCTTTTAATGTAATTGTTAACTCGATGACATTTAAGCGGTTACATAACAGCATAAAGATTTTCAATTTTAGGTTCGTAAAATTCTTGTAAGCGATTATTTTATTGCATAATTACTAACTATTGTCTCCCAAAACAAAGATTTGTAAAAGAAATCAAGTAAAAATTACAGAAAATCGAATTATATCTTGACTATCATCTAAAATCTTCTATCACTAACTCTAATTTTTCTTTTCATTATATTTAGTACAGCGATGTTTAACCAATCGGCAGTAAAATAACTTCAAGCTTGATACAATAATTAAAAATGAAAAATAAGATAAAAATCACTGCTTATTAAGATTAGAATGCCTCAAATGTAGTCTATTTTTAGTGAAGGAGTGTCGTACAATAAATAAAAACATTGACTTGCAGGATTTCTTCTAAAATAAATATCATTCATATCATGATTTTATCTGCTAAAATATATATTAAAAAGATTGAAGTAGTTAAAGACTTTCCTTGAATAATGTCATAGGTTTTTGCAAAAACCATTAGTAATTTAAATGCATACCCAATCGCACAGTATTTTTGGAAGAATGCTTTTTGATAGGTCTAATGATAAATATTGTAAAGTAAAAAAAATTTAAAACATTAGTATTTTATTGATCAATTATTCAATCTTTAAAAAATGTTGACAAGGGCAATACTTCCTTCTAAGGTATCTTCATACTTTATTGTACTTCTAATGTAAAATAGTTTCTCTGATTTTTTAAAAATTCAAAAATGTCGTATGAGTAGCAAGTATTTTGGAACTTTAAGCATCAGAATTATGCATTTGTAGCAGTTTTTACTTTTCTTTTAATAATATTGTTTACAAAAAATGTACGATTTTTTTTATGCTGCCATATGCTTCTGTTTATATAATGTATCCCATCTAAAATAATATTGGAGTCTATACATTTTAGCAATAATTGGTAAATTTATACTATATCAATTGAAAATAAACGCAGTTTTCTTACATTGAATCATTTTAAAAATTGTGGTAGTGGAAAGACACTAACCTTAAAGTTAAAGTTAAATTTCTTATATGTTTCATCTACCTGTTCAATTCATAGGGTTAACAGCAGATGTAACCGGTACCTTCTCCGCTTAGGCATACATAATAATACAGTTATCACTTTTCCTCCTTTACCTTATACAAATTATTTTTGGTAATTAATTATTAACCTTACGAGGGTTGTCCCAAAAAGTCGTAGACAGGGAACATAGTTTATTTTCTCTTTGCTAAATCAAATTTCTTCTCTTGTCATAGCAAAAAGTAACATTTTATGATCATGTATTTGAAGTTTCATGACACTACACATTTAATAAGAAAACTATGAAAAATAAAGAAACTATGTAAGTGTACATCGGCGCACGAAAGCAAGCGTAATGTACGTCTCTCATGACGTCATGATTTCTTTTTCTGCTTCACATGTGGATATTAACATCCAAATGAATATTTTTTTATAGTGAAAAACCACTCTTGACTAAGGGAGTTATTTAAATTCACTACTGTCCGTTTTCTTAAGCTGATTCAAATTTTAGTCAAAATTTAGTTAAAGATCACCTTACATTTTAAGCAGCAGAGAAAACACCTTGTTTGACCACGTTCATGGTCCATAACGTTCCCAAATGTCTGTTTAACAAACAGTACTCTACTTCTTACATGCAATAACTTTTTTTTTCGATATAGAGAAAAACTATCTTTGAATCTCCAGCTATTTAAAAACACCTTCTCTATTAAAATCTAGTGTGTAATGTCATTTCTGTACTCTTTCCCCCGTCTTTAATGAAGACAAAAGATTCCAAAAACAATTTATTACATTTCCTTGCGCCGGGTACGCGTTCGACGACGTCATTTTCATCAATCTCAATTCCAACAAGACTTTGAAAATCATGCCATTAGTCGTCTGTTTCTAATTCAATATATATGAAATTTTGACATATTATTAAGATTTTTATTCTGGTTTCAGTGATTTAAATTTTAGTTCAATCTTTTACATAGTACTAAAGATATAAAAGCTAATGTAATAGTTATATGCGTAAATTATTCCGAAATTTGGTCGTGCGCCGACAGACCATATCGGCCTTCATATAAATCGTCCCAATACAATTAATATGAAAGATATATATTTAAGAATTCACAATTTTAAAGAACATTGAACGTATTATGTCAATGCAAAATTTTTTTAGTATTGGTTGCGTGTTAAAGAAGTTATTAACATTGCCTACGGCTTTTGGGGACAACCCTCGTATACATATACTTCACAATTTTCGGGGGTCCGTGTCTGCTCTGCTCGTGTTTTGTATCGTTTTATGGACTTTGAGATTGAATACTGTTCGTTATCTCCATATCCTTCTTTTAAAATATGTATCGATTTTTTGTTAAAAAAGCATTTTGAGGATAAAAAAATAATTACTGAACTGTATTGTATGTTATAACTGTTTTTCCTGATAATATATCATGTTGATAAGAAGCAAATATTCGACTTTTGGAAACAGTCACCTTCACTTTAATTTTCTGCATTGCTGCAATCTTCCGGTTTTGAACATGATTAAAAATGCTATCTTTGACTATTGTGCATGGAAATCACACACACACACACACACACACACCCACCCACACACACACACACACACACACCCTCACACACACACACACACACACACACACACACACACACACACACACATACACACACACACACACACACACACACACACACACACACACACACACACACACACATATATATATATATATATATCCAAAGTCTCTTTTTGTCAATACAATAAAAAACTTTAAAACCAAGGAGACAAAATTCACAGTCTAGTACGAGGATCTGCCGAGTTCTAGACCGCAAATCTTGGCTCAGAGGTGGAATTTTATTATTTTCTACTTCACTCTGTTCATCCGCAAATAAAACATTTCTTTTCAAATCCATAAAAAAATCAATAACATTTTTTATATACTTAACAGTGTTTATTAGATATGAGTCATCTCAATTTAACATAATTTTTCGTAATCTTCCCTATCATATACAATATTCAAGTATTTAAATAAAGTCTCCTTGGTCTCTCTCTGCATTATAAGCTAATTATCTTTATTATCGATATACATGATAAGTACTGCTACAATTTTACTTACCTATGATATACAATACAATCTTTTTATGTCTTTAGAATTTCTTTAATAAAAATTGTACTGCAAATTCTGGAGATTAAAAAACTGCAATAGAATATATATTATAAACAACCTATAAATAAACAGCCTTAAAAAAACGTGTTCGATATCAATGTTCATTGTATTCTTTGCTATTTATAACTGAGTACAAACTCGAATGACCAAAACGACATCAGACGGAATTTAAATACCTTAACCCAATCACACAGAAATAAATGTACGCTTAACATGAGCAATATTATGAAAACGAAAAGAAATTTAATTATTTTCTACTTCACACTGTTCATCCGCAAATAAAACATTTCTTTTCTAATCCATAATAAAATTAAAGAACATTTTATATACTTTACAGTGTTTATTAGATATGAGTCGTGTACTCAGCACGAAACGACACAGATATACCAACCTAAATCTAAATACCAAAATTTAGCGAGACAGAAAGTTTGGATTTTATATCATATTTTACATATCCATCTTTAACATTTTCTGATTTCCATCTCCCAAGAATTTTAAACTACCTGTCAATATTTTGAAAACGAAAAGAAATTTAACTACCTCACACGAGTAGGTTATGAATTATTTTTCTCGACTATCAGTGTTAAGGCTGTCTTTATATAGGGCCTAAACATGGGATAAATAGATGATATCTATATTGTGCGATATGAATATGGCTTTATCCAATGAGTTGAAATGGAGAATATATTCACTAGGCTTGCCGAGCGAATATACACCATTTTAACAAGTTGGGTAAAGCCAATATCAAATCGCAAAATTATAGATGTGAAAAACACATGAATGATTGCTAATTCAAATTGATGGCGTATAACCTGATGACGTAGCACTGTTGATGTTGACATGCCTCGATATATCGTGTTCAAAATTTAGAGTTTTTGCTATCGGCGTATCTACTGTAGTTTTACATCAAACGAACTTCTGACTGAAAATTGTAAGGAACAAGGGATTGTAAAAATTAACTTTTTGTACGGTGGCTAAACAAAACGTGCTAGGCAAGGCTACGTGTAGATTCATTGTTGATCCATGGTAAGATACGCCTACATAATGTACATTTCTAGGTAGGCAGACGTAGTATAATATAAGAAAGCATTATTGAAGATGTTAAAGAAATCCTCTAACAACAAGTTAACTGCAAGGCTTTACTTTCTCCAAAAACGATATAATGGGGGGGGGGGGAGTAACATCTATCTTCAAGTAGCCAGTA